ACTTCCTACAATATATTTCTTTTATTTGTGCTTTTTGTATTTTTACTTTTAAGTAATTTCACCTTTAACTGTTACATGGCTATTATGTTATTATACCATGTATATTTTCCTGTCTTGTGCAGACCCAAAAAATGAGGAAAAATCTCTATATTTTTTAGTTTTCATGACAAAGTTTATTAGCGTATTTAATTAGCCAAAACTTTCCCTTCATACATACTCTTTACTTCTTCCACCTCCATTACTTCTGCATATGAGTAACTTTAAACTAAAGGCTTCACTAGAAAGAAGAGCTGCTCTTAAGTAATAATTGTCCCCTTTATTAAATGCTCTGCCAAACTTTTGTGTCACAGTCAGCCTTGGATGGAGGATGTCATTGTCCCGGGCCTCTACAACGACTGTGGTTATACTGGTGAGGAGTGGTGTTTAATTTCAATGTTCATTACTTTTTGTGATAAGGGTCTTAGCATTGCTTTATATAATAGAGTGCTCAAATGGACTTATTTCAGTCTATTTATCTTAGGGAGCTTAACAGAATATTCATTGTTAACTTGTTCTGGTCAAATCTTCTTTGGGTGCTACATGACAATTTCTGAGTGTATATATAGACATAGTTATGTCATTATGATTGAGTTAATACAAAAGCGGTGTGTTAGATTCTTTTCTTTTGATATCCATTCTTTATATCATGGTCAATAATCTTTATCTTTCAAAATTTTCTGGAGAAGTATACGTAGTTGTTCTTTAATTCCTATATATGTGTGAGACGTTTGAATTGATATTGTTGAGATGGAATGTCTTCTTTAGGTCACTATGTTGTGATATGTGGCTACGATGCTGGTGCAGACGAGTTTGAAATCAGAGATCCTGCCAGTTCTGGGTATAATCTTTGTTCTCTTCTGTTGTTATTTCTACTTTCCCTGTTGATACATCACAACAGAAAGGAAAGGAAAAAGAACATTTGCTCCTAACCAATTTTTTGGCTGAGAATATCGATGTTCATTAATATGGTGGTGCGTGAATGACTAAGCACTCAGGAGTTAATTCTTATGGTAAAAAAAATTGTGATGGACTACCCTGCTAGTGTACACTTACCAAAGCAAATAAATCCTGTGTTCCAAACTGTATGTCAAAACTAGAACTTTGAAAGTCTCCCTAAACTTAACAAGATATTTTATTCAGATAAATATAGTTCTTTAAAATGGTGGATGGACTGGAGATCAGAGTATCTCCCTGTAATGTTATGGTTAATAGTGGTTGATTGTGCTAAATAATTCAAATTTGTTAGGTAGAACCATATAAACAGAATTTATTTGCCCTGTGAATGCTTTTTCAGAAAATGTCAACAAAATTTTGCGCCTCATTTGCTTGGAAGAACTTGGGGCATCATTTTTTGGGATGTTAAATCTTTTTTTATGATATTTTGTCAATAGTATTTGCATTTGAAAATTTAGTTTAGCTTATTATCGAAGCATGGTCTTTGAAAACTTGTGCAGGAAACATGAGAGGGTCTCATCAAAGCACCTAGAAGAAGCTCGAAAATCCTTTGGTACTGACGAAGATCTTCTCCTGGTAATTATCTTCACCTTGCTAATGCTTCATAATGTTAGTGTATTTTCACAAAACCTTGTTTAAGTCATAATTAACACGAGTATGATCTAAGAAATAAGAAGTAAATAAAACAGAAACGAGTCATGACATGAACAAAAGATTTGATTTCTAGTTTTATTAAAATTATCACCTTTTATTTTCAATATTTCCAATTTTTCATCTTACAGATATCCCTGGGGAAGAGTGAGAAGTAGACCTTTTCTTGAGCATAACTTTCTTCATGTCAATCCGATTATGTGACATTACAGCTTGCGTATATTACAAATTTGTGTATAATATGTGCATCCAAACTGATAAAATCTCTCACTTCACTTTACATGCATATATGCTTGTAAGTATTTAATTCATATTTAAATGTAAATTAACATATAATTTTAGTAAATTCTTTTCTTTTAATAGATTGTGTATTATTCTTCCAAATAATGTTGAGACACAGGCAGTTGCCCTGTCTTCAAACAGATTCTGAAAGCTCAGTTATACCATTTTTTCTTCAATAAATTGGTCCGCTTTTCATTGGCACTTTTGTTTATTAAATTATGCTTCAATTACTTTGCAAATGTATTTTTTTTTTCTTCTTAATTATCTCAGTAGTGTTCTTGAAATCGAAAATATTATCGGTACTGCTAAATACTGACCACCTCCTGTTTAAGATAAAATTGTAATCTCAATTTTTTTTTTGCTGATATTTTCTTGAAGGACAGTATTCCGATTCTTTATTCTGCCTATGATTCTTAAAATATGAAAGAAAAAATTCTTATTTCCATTTTCATATTTATTTCGTATGTAATACCCACTAATTTTTTGACCTATTATAAGTTCATAACTATCAGAAAAACATTATATCGTTGCTCATTTGCTTGCATCTTTGTAAGCAAGCCCAAATCAGAACCTGTTGTTTGCTTGTGCAGTATAGCAAAAGGGTGGAGGTTATTTAGCACGAGTCTCATCTTTTTAGAAGGGTAGTGATACTGATACCATATCCAAATAAAAATACTGCAATACCGGAGGCTTTTGGGCAGCCTGCAACTGCCGGGAACAAATCCCTGAAAACATAGAAAAATTAATATGATTAGGTAATAATGAATCTTTAAATTGTATAAATCTGATCGAAAAGGGACACATTACCTGAATCGAGTTAGGTTCTTAATTGCGGGCATGTTGAACAAATCTAATTTTTTTTTTTTTTTTAAGAAAAAAAAGGAGAAAAGTGTGTAAATTGTTTAATAGAATTAGTGAGTTGGTGATGGACGTGTAATGGGCTAATTAGACATAAGAGAGGGAGATTCAAAACGAAGATGTAAAGCTACAGTGGTATTGGAGGACATAACATAACATATTTCCAAGAATCTCCCAAAACAAGGTTCTCGACACCCTTTATTATTATTATTATTATTATTTCCCGTAGAACAATGAGACATGTCTCTCCATACATCCACCCCATTACTTGGTCCTTTGTAAATGTAATTGCATTACATATTATTCGCTTCGGTCATATTTTTTTTTTCCGAATTTCAAACAATTCTCGCATGCCCACTTCCCTCTTTGTTTGTCTATGTGGATAACGCACAAAATTGTATAACCACTTAAATTCACCTCAGGATTATTTTAGGGGAAGAAAAAAGTAAGATTTCTTTAACTTCTTAGGGCAGGCAGATATTTAGTTGGTGTCGGCCAAAATCTTTTAGTGTTTGTAATTGGAAGTTTCAAACTAGGCATTTAAATATAAATATTTAGCTTTTTTTTTTTTTTGTATTTTTCATGGAACCAATAATGACACCAATCACATGGTTGCATAGAGGGAGTTAGAACCATGAACAAATGGTCCTAGGTTGCTCCAAACTTGTCATCAAATTCAACTGACAAATCCACTCCCAAATCACTTTCTTACATCCCCACTTTGTAGCAGTATTTTAATGTACTTACAAACCTTAAAAAAAATATATATATAAAAAAAAAAAATGAAGCATGTGCATCCTCTGCTAGACCTAGTTGCCCATAACTACAAACAAGACATTTCTCACACAAAATAATACTAATAATAATAGAGTTGATGGCTTGGAAGAACAAAAGGGTTGTGTTAGGCATGGACATGTCATTTTCTAATAAACATAATTTTGCCTATCTGTCAAGTTCTTTTCAGATACCCTCCATTTAGCCAGATTTATGGTGGGTTCTTTCTTGTCAATTTCTAGTAATAAGCCAAGCCTTGCAGTCACAACACTTAAGGGTCGGAAAAGAAACAAGTGATTTAGATTCATTCCAGGATTTTTTGTAGATCTGGTGTCCCATTTTTTGGATCTGAAAATCCCATTTACAAACTTAATTCAATTCATCCATTGCTTCAATTAGCTTTCATATATTTGAGGAATCTAGGATATTTAATGACCATGTCATGTGAACCTCAACTCCATGTATTTCAATATTATATTAAAAATAAATTTAACAAAACTCCCCGATAAATATCATAAATTCCCATTAAAAAAATTATCATTAAACCCTTAATAAATATAAAAGAAAAAAGGTAGAAAAATATAAAAAGATTTTTTTGGGTAGGGAAATGAATTTATTATGAAAGTGGTTTCATTTAAAAGGGTAATACATTGCATTATTGGTGCCCTGTATTCGAGGAATTGACCATTGACCACTCAGCATCACATGTTGCGCACGTGAGTCAGAGTGTACTCTTGATCTTATGTTATATAAGTAGGGATCCTATGCATTCAATTTTCTATAGCCCATCAGTTCTCACCTGTTTCTGTCCTTCCAATCTTATCATATCATAAATAGAAATTATTTTATCTATAATATTATACTTGCAAAAAAAACAAAAATTCTTAGAAAAATTTTCAAGTAAGATGTCCAAAAATAATTGGAAAGTAAAACTCATTAAATTAACTCTCTCCGCTTATTTGTTATCCCATTATTTTGTATGAAGATTTTTATAAAATTTCTTTGTAAGTATAGTATTACTCTTATTTTATGAATAAATTTGAAGTGGTTTAATACTTAAAAAAGAATACCCTTTTAATAATAATAATAATAATAATGAATATTATTTATTAATTTTATATTAAATAAAAATAAATCCCCTAAGTTTGTATCCTTATTCTGAAAATACTATTATATTTTATTCATTTTTTAAACCTCTTAAGTTTGTTAATTTAACTAAACACCCCCAAAAAAATTTAGAAATTGACAAAAACACCCCCATCCACCCACATTTGCTAGATTCCAGGCACCACAGTTGGATGGTGGTCAGAATTTGGTATAATGACGCACTATCAGCTAAATCTGGTCGGTATGCTCTGAAAAAGGCCAGATCTACGACCAAAGATCTGGTCGTTGATGGCCAGATCTTTGGCCGTAGCTAGTCGTCAACGACGGCCATATCTTTGGCCATCGTTGACCACCAAACGCGATTAAATGTGACAGTCAATGGCCAAATCTAGTTGTAGATCTGGCATTTTCTGACTAGATCTACGGTGAATCTGGTTGGAAAATGCCATCTCGGCGCACGACCAGCCAGATCTAGCCGATCGTGCATCGATAACGATGGTGGTCGGCTACCAGTATTTAATGGGTGGGTGAGGATATTTTTGTAATTTTTAATGTTTTTATTACAGGGATGTTTAGTAAATTAACAAATCTATGAGGTATTTTATTAATGTTTAAATCCTATCTCATTATTATCACCAAACTCTTACATTTTCAAAAATAATATCTAAAATTCTAACACAAATGTACCCCTAAATCAAGGGTCAAATAAAAGAGTAATATTAACCTTACAAAGAGACATACAAAGAGTCAAATTCAGCCCTTTAAATTTATAATTGCTTCTTTCTCTCTTTCTTTTTCTCTTCTTTTAAGGGTTGGATTTGACTCTTTCTTTTTCTCTTCTTTTAAGAGTTGGATTTGACTATTTGTATGACTAGTATTACTCTAAATAAAAGGACCTAACCTCTTTATTATTAGAATTTAATTAAATTAAAAAAACATTCATTTACTCCATTTCACCCACAATGAAAGCTGTCTCAGTTAAAATCTGCCATTTCAGAGGTTGAGGACTTAAACTGAAGAGAGGCATGTGGTAGAAAGTAAATCAAATCAATTAAATGTTAGTTGTTCTGCATGGTAGGTGCTCTGTTTTATTTACCAAACCTAACATCTTTCATTCAAAGTCATATCCATTGAAGAAAACTAGTACGTATATAATGATACGTGTTGCTTCATTATTAATACAAAGTGCTGGACTGGAGACGTACTATCAATTCCATTTATTTCTCAATATCTTCGGTGGGAGGACTGTTTTGTAATCACTTAATATGGATAAATGACACATGGTAACGTGACATATGCTTATTTGATCTTACATATAAGGATGAAAGATTCCATACCCCCACAGATTCAAGGCAGGCCTCATTGAATAAGATTTGGTATGGTGCATGTGCATCACATTTATGTTTAATTTACCACAAATTAATAGAAAGATAGTAGGATTAAAGAGTAAACAACTTTTTTCTTTTTAAATAATGATTTAATGACACTTTTTCACTCATACATATTTAAAATACTATTTTACTACTTAATTTTATATTCTATTTCCGATTTTAACATTGTTGCGACCTTATACCATCACCATTTTCTTCTTCGATTATCATTCATCAAAACTCATAAAATTCTACTCTTGTCAATCCCACTAATCGTCGGTAATTGAGAGATTAAGGTTTACGTAATTACCCCTCCCAAGTCAAATTTTGATCAATCTCAACAACCAAATTCTAACCTTTTACCACTAAAAGATTTATTGAGCCCCCCTCTTCAAAAACCCCAATAGTTTGAATCGAGTTTACTCTCAATTCTTCGTCGAAATATAAATATAAATAATAAAATTATATTTTAAAAATCTATGGGTGAAAAAGTGTTATTAAAATCATTATTTAGATGAAAAAAAGTAGTTAACTAGGAGGATTTATTAGGTGAACTTAGGTTTTTCTAATCATCAAATTAATGAATAATATTACACCAACAACTTTCTCTCATAACCTTGACGTGATAGTTCACAATTGCTTAGTTTACAATGGATCTTATATGGATTTTACTAATTAATTATAAGCTGACTAATTATAAACTGTTACGTTAAAATTATGAGAAAAAATTTATAAAAAATGATTGTTAGTGTAATATTACTTAAAAGAGTGCACTTATAAATTAAACAAATATTCATTAATCCATAATAATACAATTCTGACGATGTTTCGTTATTTAACTGGACATGGGATGGGAGGGTGGATGTCATTATCCCAAAACGAATTTAAAATCAGCAACTACAAATTAACCAATCAATGAGACATTGGCTTCTAGTGGGAAATAGCTACCTGCCCAACCGTTGAGTTTAAACTTCAAATTTCAAAAACCTAAATAATAAAATATTTATTTATGTCTTCTCATTTCAGAAGATTTGTGACACTGACCGTTGATTGTGTATTTCGGCGCCAAATTCAAAAATATCTTGCGGGAAAATCAAAGCAAGCTTCTGTTTACGTCTATTTATGATGTAATATTTCCACAAATTCACGATAAATATCATTTAGATCCCTTATCTAGTTATCTTTTGCTTAATTACTAAAAATCTCTCCCACAAAATTAAAAACACATTCTTGAGGGG